AGGGGGGGGGGGGGGGGTGTTTAGGGAAATGCTGCTATATGGCAACGCTGTACCACAATGGAAAATGGTCAAAAAAATAGTTTTTCCATTAAATTATGATTTCCTTTTCTATTTAAATACCCATTTCTTTTGCAAATTGATAGATTTATATACTCTGACCTCATGCAAACCAAAAATAAGTAGATCCCTATCATTTCACCTTTACTGAATACTAACTCCTCCTCACTCATCGCATGCAAGAGCCAACTCTGCACTCTTCCTACTGGCCTTTCCGTAAAATATTGCTGTATTCATTTTCTGAAAAGAAGAAATAATATTTTAATTTTTAATAAATGTTTTTTTTTATACATAAATACAACTATACTACAATAAACACTTCAAATAAATAAATAAATAACTGCAATCATATTATTGATGCTATACTATCTATAAAAAAATCCCAATGGGGAAATACATGCAATTCCACTGTGGTGCAGCGTTGCCATATGGAAACATTGATATTTTGTTAGAGTTAGAGGGTCAAATAAAGGTGGAACAGATATGTTTTTAGTCGTTTCTTGAAGATGGTTAAGGACTTGATTTGGGCAGGTCATTCCACCAGGAGGGAACAGTTAATGAAAAAGTCTGTGAAAGTGAATATGTGTCTCTTTGAGATGGCACAATAACACGCCGTTCACTTGCAGAACGCAAGCTTCTAGAGGGCACATAACTCTGAAGTAATGTAATTTAATTTAAGTAAGTAATTTACTGTAAATCCATGTTGGACAAAGTTATGTTGTGAATAAAAAAAGGTGTCTTCTGTGTGAGGGTGACAGTGGCGGAAAAGAGTTCTGGACGACATTCAAACAGCACATCAAGACCTGCCCTTTTAATTCCCATAGTGCAGTATGTTTTTTTGTTTTTTGCATAATAACAAGGAAATGAGTAGAAATTCATTCTTGCCATATGGCAACTCCGTTCCATAAAGGGTTCAACAGTGTGCCAGTTTCTAGTAACCGCAAAACTCATCCAGATTACCACAATAACTCAACTAGAGAGTGTTACAATGATTTGTTGCCACTGAGTGACAAACACTACTCTGCCATTCAGACACATTCAGATCTCAGGATTTTGGGGGGTTATTTGCAGTATGTGTACACAAGAACGTATAATCCATTACAATTAATATTTAAATTGATTACTAGTTTGAAATCCGCCATAGAAGTCGCTTTAAAAAGATTTCTTATCCAGTAATCATGAACGGCTGTGATTGGTCCATCTTGATCAGCGGTGAGAAATGTAACAGATACCACGTGATTATGTTTCTGTCCGGATAATGACAGAACTGAAGAGTTACGATATGATAAATATTATTTAGACCAATTATAGGCAACACCTGGACCGCTAGTCTTACTTACAAACTCTATTTCTTCTTTTTTGCGATGCTTTTATTTTGCTTTAGAACTAAACCGAATTGATACCGCATGTTTTTATAGTATGTATATTTTAACAGAATTAGAAGTAAATCGGACGACATTTAACCACAGTAAAATGATTTTTGAGATGAATTCTTCAAACTCGGCGATGAATTTTGGTCGGCCGTGGTGAGGCGTGATGACGTCAGCGCGCCATTGCGTTTCAACGCGTGTTTGTCTCTCTGCAGAAGTTGGTGTTTGTGTATTGTTCTTATTATTCATTCTGTTTGTGTTTTTATTGCTCTTTTAAATGATAGGTAAAGGATTTTAGAGCAGCTCTGGTGGGATTGTGATCACGTGTTTGCTGCCTGCAGTTGGTTCATCTGTAGGTGTTGACTTGTGTTTGTTCATATGTGATTTTAAATGATTTCTGTTGCTTTTGAAACACCTCAGTGGTCTTAAAGACATAAGAGACACTTATCATTGCATTTAAGTGTCTTAAGATGATGTGAACACTTCTGTGTGTTGTCACAGGTCCATCATGGAGGCTCTGACCCAGGCTCTCTCCTCCAGCTTCTCTGTATCCAGAGAACCAAACAGCACTTCTGCTCCCCATCCACGCCTGGCCCAGTACAAGAGCAAATACAGCGTTCTGGAGCAGAGTGAACGGCGCAGGAGGTTCCTGGAGCTGCAGAAAGAGTGAGTTTATCTTACACAACCACCCAGAACACAAGAGCAGCTGCTTATCAGCCACCTACAACACATTATTTTGATGCACTGCCACTGATAGAATACATTATGCTGGCAGGAAGAGGCTAAACTATGTGAATCACGCCCGTCGGCTGGCTGATGGAGACTGGACCGGAGCTGACAGCGAGGATGAGGAGGGTGAAGAGAAGAAGAGTCAGCCGCAGCTGGAGAACAGCACTGATGAAGAAGGGATGGAGATCGAGCAGAGGAAAAAGCTACCGAAGCATTATGCCAACCAGGTGCTTAAAAACACATTGACAGATATAGTTGTTTACATGATTAATCTTAAAGGTACAGTAGCACAAACAACCTGTTTAATTCTATGTTTTTTGGTTTAGGAAGCTATAAATATCTTGTATTGTGACTTTTAATTAATGATAAGTGATTCCTGCATAATCAGAAGTCAAAAAGAGCTTTATTACCAAGTATGTTTACACACACAAGGAATTTGTCTTGGCGACAGGAGCTTCCAGTGCAGAAGAAATTAGACATAGATAGTAGGGCTGTCGCGATAACCGCAATATCGCAATACCACGCTATTGACGAGCAAACCGCAGAGGAATGCAAGAACCGCAGCAACCGCGATTTTTGCGTGTTTCCTTTTTTCATAGGGTTATGCCCTTCTCGTTTTACACTTCGTGCATGCGTACTGAATATTAAATAAGTTAATAATAATAACATAATGTGTACATGATGATTTGTACTGAGGCTCCGTAGATTTGCACTAACAAGACAACGAATGAGAGAGAGATCAACTGAGCATGTGCGATTACTTGCGAGTCAAGAACTGAAGAGTTACGATATGATAAATATTATTTAGACCAATTATAGGCAACACCTGGACCGCTAGTCTTACTTACAAACTCTATTTCTTCTTTTTTGCGATGCTTTTATTTTGCTTTAGAACTAAACCGAATTGATACCGCATGTTTTTATAGTATGTATATTTTAACAGAATTAGAAGTAAATCGGACGACATTTAACCACAGTAAAATGATTTTTGAGATGAAATCTTCAAACTCGGCGATGAATTTTGGTCGGCCGTGGTGAGGCGTGATGACGTCAGCGCGCCATTGCGTTTCAACGCGTGTTTGTCTCTCTGCAGAAGTTGGTGTTTGTGTATTGTTCTTATTATTCATTCTGTTTGTGTTTTTATTGCTCTTTTAAATGATAGGTAAAGGATTTTAGAGCAGCTCTGGTGGGATTGTGATCACGTGTTTGCTGCCTGCAGTTGGTTCATCTGTAGGTGTTGACTTGTGTTTGTTCATATGTGATTTTAAATGATTTCTGTTGCTTTTGAAACACCTCAGTGGTCTTAAAGACATAAGAGACACTTATCATTGCATTTAAGTGTCTTAAGATGATGTGAACACTTCTGTGTGTTGTCACAGGTCCATCATGGAGGCTCTGACCCAGGCTCTCTCCTCCAGCTTCTCTGTATCCAGAGAACCAAACAGCACTTCTGCTCCCCATCCACGCCTGGCCCAGTACAAGAGCAAATACAGCGTTCTGGAGCAGAGTGAACGGCGCAGGAGGTTCCTGGAGCTGCAGAAAGAGTGAGTTTATCTTACACAACCACCCAGAACACAAGAGCAGCTGCTTATCAGCCACCTACAACACATTATTTTGATGCACTGCCACTGATAGAATACATTATGCTGGCAGGAAGAGGCTAAACTATGTGAATCACGCCCGTCGGCTGGCTGATGGAGACTGGACCGGAGCTGACAGCGAGGATGAGGAGGGTGAAGAGAAGAAGAGTCAGCCGCAGCTGGAGAACAGCACTGATGAAGAAGGGATGGAGATCGAGCAGAGGAAAAAGCTACCGAAGCATTATGCCAACCAGGTGCTTAAAAACACATTGACAGATATAGTTGTTTACATGATTAATCTTAAAGGTACAGTAGCACAAACAACCTGTTTAATTCTATGTTTTTTGGTTTAGGAAGCTATAAATATCTTGTATTGTGACTTTTAATTAATGATAAGTGATTCCTGCATAATCAGAAGTCAAAAAGAGCTTTATTACCAAGTATGTTTACACACACAAGGAATTTGTCTTGGCGACAGGAGCTTCCAGTGCAGAAGAAATTAGACATAGATAGTAGGGCTGTCGCGATAACCGCAATATCGCAATACCACGCTATTGACGAGCAAACCGCAGAGGAATGCAAGAACCGCAGCAACCGCGATTTTTGCGTGTTTCCTTTTTTCATAGGGTTATGCCCTTCTCGTTTTACACTTCGTGCATGCGTACTGAATATTAAATAAGTTAATAATAATAACATAATGTGTACATGATGATTTGTACTGAGGCTCCGTAGATTTGCACTAACAAGACAACGAATGAGAGAGAGATCAACTGAGCATGTGCGATTACTTGCGAGTCATATATATTTGTGAAAATAGGTTGTCAAACTTGTCATGTCCAAGGAAAGCCAAATCTCTGTCTTAGCATCGACGCATTGGTCAGCTGAGCCTTCTAACGTGGCGCTCAATGTTAAAATGATTTCAATAGCGTTTTTCATTTTGTCTGAATTTTTGAAAAAAATGTTTTTGATTGAATCAGCGTTTTTGAACGTGTTGTTGAATGAACGGTTTAAAGACTCACTCAAAGACAGTCCCTTTCCACCACCTTGTGGCGCAACACTGTAACTGCACTGACGGACAGTCCGTCTAGAACGCGCGCAGGTGGAAATATCATTAGAAAAGTCTCTTGACCAGTCGGATTCGATGATCAAAACGAACTGTTATACATATAGGCTAACAATAGCCTAACAATCTTATTGTCAGGTTTATGTTCTGTTATGTGGATCGTTATTTTGTCATTCTCTTCTGTTTACTTCACTTCCTGTTTCAACGCTATTTGGTTTCGGTTTCATTGGTTTCTGAATATGACCTCGTTATATCGTAACACATACACACACAGATATATATATATATATATGGCGATAATACCGCATCCCGTGCTATTGAGCCACTCAAAATTACCGCAAGGGAAATTCCTTCACCACGACAGCCCTAATAGATAGTGCATACAGAATAGTGCAGGCATACAATTACAGAGTAGAGATGAAATATAACACTAATATAAGAAAAACTGAAAATTAAATAATGCAATATAATACAGAAATTCAAATATAGAGAAAAAACATATATAATTGTTTACAAGTATACAGTTTATGTAGTTTACAAATGTACAATTTTCAGATGATATGTATAAATGTGTCAGATATGATGGACAGTAATAGTTAGCCTGTGGGGAAAAACTGTTCTTGGTGGTTGGTGCTCTGTAGCGCCATCCAGAGGGCAACAGTTGAAAGAGAGAGTGGGCTGTGATTTTCTTAGCCCTTTTTGTCATTCTGGAGGTGTAGAGATTTTGGAGTTTGGGCAGGGGGAACCAGTAATCTTCTCAGCAGTCCTGACTGTCTGTTGTAGTCTCTTGATGTCCGATTTGGTAGCTGAACCAAACCAGACAGTTATGGATGAACACAGGACAGACTCAATGGCAGAGTAGAACTGTGTGAGCAGCTCCTGTGGCAGGATGAATTTCATCAGCTGGCGAAGGAAGTACGGTCTCTGCTGGGCCTTTTTTCGCAATGGAGTTTATGTGAGTGTCCCACTTCAGGTTCTGAGAGATAGTGGTGCCCAGGAACCTGAATGACTCTACTGCAGCCGCAGTGCTGTTCATAATGGGGAGTGAGGGGAGCGCTGGGGGGCGTTTCTCCTGAAGTCCACAATCATCTCCACTGTTTTGAGCGTGTTGAGCTCCAGGTTGTTATAACTGCACCAGACAGCCAGCTCTTTAACCTCCTGTCTGTAAGCAGACTCGTCTCCTTTGGGTATGAGGCCGATGATGGTAGTGTCATCTGCAAATTTCAGGAGCTTGACAGAGGGGTCTTTTGTAGTGCATTCGTTCGTATACAAGGAGAAGAGCAGTGGGAAGAGCACACATCCCTGAGGGGCGCCAGTGCTGATCGTGAGAGTCCTGGATGTGAGTTTACCCAGCCTCACTAGTTGCCGCCTGTCTGTCAGGAAGCTGGTGATCCACTGACAGATTGGGGTGGGCACAGAGAGCTGGGTCAGTTTGACTGAGTGAAGGTCAGGCATGATGGTATTGAAGGCCGAACTGAAGTCTACAAACAAGTTCCTTGCATAAGTCCCAGGTCTATAAAGATGTTGCAGAGAAGGGTCTGTAGTCGTTAAGTCCAGTTAATTTTTTATTTTTTGGGACCGGAACGATAGTGGAGAGTTTGAAGCAGCAGGAAACTTTTCACACTGCTCCAGTGATCTGTTGAAGATCTGTGTAAAGATGGGGGCAGTTGGTCAGCGCAGACTTTTAAACAGGCAGGTGAAACACTGGGCCTGAAGCTTTCTTAGTCTTATACAAGTCATATATGACTTATTGAAGTATTTTATAATAAAATCCACTACTTTTACACTTAAATCAGTTCTTAAAAACACATAGACAGATAGTCATTTATATATAGCAGTTTTAAAGGTACAGTAGTAAAATCAGCTGGGTTATTGCTAAGGATTAAGGAAAATGGGTGGAAAATGTGACAAGTGTTTGTTTCAAGAAATTATTAATAACTTATAAGAAATTATAAGTGGTTACTTGCATGAGTATATACTACTTATGTAAATATTTTATAATAAAAGTACTGCAAAAGTGATACATTATAATGCTGTCTGGAAACATAATTAAAAGTCCTTTAATAGAAAAGTAGTTTTTTATATTTCTGTTATATTTCTATTCTCCAGCTGATGCTGTCAGAGTGGTTAGTGGATGTCCCTGCAGATCTGAGCTCTGATTGGCTGATGGTGGTTTGTCCAGTTGGGAAGCGTTCCCTCGTTGTTGCCTCCAAGGTTTGGATCTTTTTCCATCCATCATGAACATCATGAGACCAGACATACACTAACGTTCAAAAGTTTGGGTTTAGGAATAAAAATTTAAAAAAGATACATTTATTCAGAAAGGATGCATTAAATTGAGCAAGCGTCACTGTAAAATCTTTTATAATGTTATTTCAAATAAATGCCATTCTCTTGAACTTTCTATTCATCAAACATTCCTGAATTAAATGTATCACAGTTTTCCACAAACATATTAAGCAGCACAACTAATTTCAACACTGATGATAATCAGAAATAAATAAATGTAGCCTTGGTAAGCATAAGAGACTTCTTTCAAAAACTTTAAAACATCTTAACAACCCCAAACTTATATCTATATGAAGCAGCATTTTACATGTTTAATTTTCATGTTTATGATTTTATCCTTAGGGATCTACGTCATCTTACACCAAAAGTGGCTACTGTGTCAATCGATTCCCTTCTCTTATCCCTGGTGGCAACAGACACACCTCTGCAGTAGGAAAAGGTCTGCACCATCCTACAGATTGTTTACACTAGAGTGTGCTAGAGTACTGCAGTTTTAAACCATACTGGAAAATAAGTGACAAATATGTTTTACATAGATTACACCATCCTGGACTGCATCTACAGTGACGTGGACAGAACATACTACATCCTGGATGTCATGTGCTGGAGGGGACATCCTGTGTATGACTGCTCAGTGAGTGATCATTTCCTCTAATGACATCTATATAAACTTTAGGGACATATTCGACACTTTTGCACCATTTTATATAATTAATTTAATTTCTCAGAAGTATACTTATGTTTGTTGCACCAAAACAAACATAGTTTTAGATGTATCATGACTGCTGTTCAATTTGGATCAATAGTTTTTTGAAGAAAATTAATACTTTTATTCAGCAAGGAGACATTCAATTGGTGAAAAGTGACAGGAAAGGCATTTATGATGTTGCAAAAAATTGCTATTTCAAATAAATGTTGTTCTTTTGAACTTTCTTTTTATCAAAGAATCCTGACAAAAGTATCAGTTTCCACCAAAAGCACAAGCGCAGCACTACTGTTTTTCAACATTAATAATAATAAATGTTTCTTGAGCAGCAAATCAATATATTAGAATGATTTCAGCTTTGCATCACAGAAATTTTGAATGTTAGTGTATGTAAAGGACCTCTGTTCTGGCTAACCACTTTGCATGTGGAATTAATTTTCATAAATGCGTCTGTATTAAAATTCTAGTTTGTTTGCACTTTATCCTTTTCTTACAATGCAAAGCACAAACTGATGTATTTTTGCAGACAGAGTTCCGTTTCTACTGGTTGCAGTCTAAAGTGGAAGAGGTTGAAGGTCTTTCTGAAATATCCAAGATTAATCCTGTAAGTGAGCAAATAACTGCGTCTGTGAGTGTGAACAAGGCTGCACTTTGAGCTGAAGCACTTGGTTCATGCTCTGTTCTGTCTCTGCAGTTCCGGTTTGTGAGTCTGAACAGCATCAGCTGTTCGACAGAGTCCATCCAGACGGCTCTTGCACATGAGTACAACTTTACAGTAAGAACCTCCATTATTTGACATGCTAAGTCTATAAAATAACATTGATTGAGCTGATTATTTATGATATTTTAGTGGTATTCAGGGCTTGATGCTTAGTTTTTCTCAAGGAGCACAAAAAGTGGAAAAATTTAGGAACACATTAAAAAAAGGAATGAAAATTGATCAAACAATGTGTTTTTCCCTTGTAAAGGGATACAAGGAGGCTTTTACAAGCAGAGTTATGTAATTTACTAGAAAAGTACACTGTTTTTAAATATTTCTGCTTCAAACTGTATTTAACAATTGTTATTATATATAGGCCTACTTTAAGCTGCAGAAACTTTATATATATATATATATATATATACCGTATATATATAGTACATTCCTGATTTTTCATTACTAAATTTAAGATCTCTTAAAATGATAATTAAGATATTTGTTATGCCATTTAAGATATTAACTAAATTTTTTTTGACTTTTTTTTTTTATGCACACACATGCACCTAATACAATTTTCAGCACACACATCTATTTTTGGTCGCATATGCGAGTAAAACACTCATACTACTGGCTTGAGCCCCGGTATAGATGAACTCAAAATGTGTTCCTCTCTTCTAGGTGGATGGGCTTCTTTTCTACCACAAGGAGACCCACTACACTCCTGGCAGCACGCCGCTGGTCGGCTGGCTCAGACCCTATATGGTGGCAGATATCTTGGGCATCGAGATGCCACAGTGTCCCCTCACCAGCAAGCCTGATTATGCCAGCCATCAGCTTCAGCAGATCCTGGAGCACAAGAAAACCTCTACAGAAGTTCGGCCGGCCGACCAAAATGGCCGATATGACCAGAACCCTTCCTAGAGCTGGCTGTCCGGCCAAACTGAGCTATCGGGGGGGAAGAGCCTTGGTGAGAGAGGTAAAGAAGAACCCAAAGATCACTGTGGCTGAGCTCCAGAGATGCAGTCGGGAGATGGGAGAAAGTTTTAGAAAGTCAACCATCACTGCAGCCCTCCACCAGTCGGGGTTTTATGGCAGAGTGGCCCGACGGAAGCCTCTCCTCAGTGCAAGACACATGAAAGCCCGCATGGAGTTGTGAGATGGTGAGAAATAAGATTCTCTGGTCGGATGAGGCCAAGATATAACTTTTTGGCCTTAATTCTAAGCGGTATGTGTGGAGAAAACCAGGCACTGCTCATCACCTGTCCAATACAGTCCCAACAGTGAAGCATGGTGGTGGCAGCATCATGCTGTGGGGGTGTTTTTTAGCTGCAGGGACAGGACGACTGGTTGCAATCGAGGGAAAGATGAATGCGGCCAAGTACAGGGATATCCTGGACGAAAACCTTCTCCAGAGTGCTCAGGACCTCAGACTGGGCTGAAGGTTTACCTTCCAACAAGACAATGGCCCTAAGCACACAGCTAAAATAACGAAGGAGTGACAACTCTGTGACTGTTCTTGAATGGCCCAGCCAGAGCCCTGACTTAAACCCAATTGAGCATCTCTGGAGAGACCTAAAAATGGCTGTCCACCAACGTTTACCATCCAACCTGACAGAACTGGAGAGGATCTGCAAGGAGGAATGGCAGAGGATCCCCAAATCCAGGTGTGAAAAACTTGTTGCATCTTTCCCAAAAAGACTCATGGCTGTATTAGATCAAAAGGGTGCTTCTACTAAATACTGAGCAAAGGGTCTGAATACTTAGGACCATGTGATATTTCAGTTGTTCTTTTTTAATAAATCTGCAAAAATGTCAACAATTCTGTGTTTTTCTGTCAATATGGGGTGCTGTGTGTACATTAATGAGGAAAAAAAATTAACTTAAATGATTTTAGCAAATGGCTGCAATGTAACAAAGAGTGAAAAATTTAAGGGGGTCTGAATACTTTCCGTACCCACTGTATATTCCTGATTTTTCATTACTAAATTTAAGATCTCTTAAAATGATAATTAAGATATTTGTTATGCCATTTAAGATATTAACAAAAATTTTTTTTTACTTTTTTTATTTTATTCACACACATGTGCCTAATACAATTTTCAGCACACACATCTATTTTTGGTCGCATATGCGAGTGAAACACTCATACTACTGGCTTGAGCCCCGGTATAGATGAACTCAAAATGTGTTCCTCTCTTCTAGGTGGACTTAGTTGTAGTTTAGGAACAAAATTAAACACAAAAATAAGCTGTTTTAAATTTTGTAGGTCCCCTATATATATATATATATATATATATATATTACTAGAAATAAAAAGAAACAATGTGCTTAAATATTTTATACTAAATATATGTTATTTTGAACTCATTCCATAAGTACAAAATAGAATTGGGTTTTATGTATTAAATTAGAAAACTTACTTTTAGTTACTTATGAAAACATTAGAATATATCATAATTTACATAACTAAGTAAATGTGTGTGTGTGTGTGTGTACCTACTTGACCCTATTTTGGAGACCATTTTGTACCCAAAATTGAGCAAAACCTGACAAAATCCCCCAAAACCTCCATTTGGGGGCGTCCTCGTTTGTAAAACGAAAAGTAAAACAAAAAGAAAGTTTGCTAAAGTTTTCTGTGAGGGGTAGGGGTGTGTTTTAGGTTAAAAAGTGTATAACTATCTGTATATAAAAACGATAGAAGTCTTATGTAATGTCCCCATTTAGATAGCTAGGTAAACGTGTGTGTGTTTGTGTGCATGTTTATGTGGTTTATGAGGAGACACATTTGTATAATAACATAGGTATTACAAGGAGAAGGTGATTTATGAGGACATTTTCAGTGTCCCCGTAATTCAAAAGGCTTATAAATAATTCAGAATGAGTTTTTTTGAAAATCTAAAAATGCAGAAAGTTTCCTGTGAGGGGTAGGTTTAGGGGTAGGGTTGGTATAGGGCAATAGAAAATACGGTCTGTACAGTAGAAAAACCATTACGCCTATGGAGAGTCCCCATAAACCATAAAAACAAACCTGTGTGTGTGTGTGTGTGTGTGTGTGTGAATGACGTCTGATTCGCGAATGAATCATTCGAAAATCACTCGGCTCACTTGGAATCACAAAAATGCAACAACACACCAAATACACAAAATAATGATCTTTAAAATAGCATCATATGACCCCTTTAATATGTTTTTATTTTAATTCAAAATTTGCACGAAGTAGATAAAAAATATTAAACCACCGTATTATTTGGAAGAGCATATTACTGTATGTTTGGATATTTATTTATAATTTTTTTATTTTATTATTTATTTAATCTCTTTTGTTTTAATTCAGAAATTGTACGAAGTTGAACAAAAAATTTTAAACTACCGTATTTATTTGAAAGAGCATACTGCTGTATTTTTGGATATTGATTTATGTAGTTATTAATTCATTCATGCATTCTGTTATTTTTAGTGTATTGCTTTAAAAATTGAAAACTACCGTAATTATTTCTGAATTGCTTCTGAATTCCATTCTAAATGAATGAATTAAACATGCAATCAAGTGAGGTTGTGTGAGCATTTATCATTCCATAATGCATCCTGTTTCAACATTTAGTATGCAGTACACTAGTACTCCAAAGAGTTGAGATGACTGACATGTAAACATTAAAACATGACTGTTCTTTTTTTGAGATTTTTTTTTTTACACCGTTCTGATATCAGGGGGTCCGGGACCCGTCTGGCGCATCCATCGCCCTCTACACGGCTAAACTGCACCATCCCAGCAAAACAGGAAACCATGTGGTTCTTCAGGCTCTGTTCTACCTACTGGACCGAGCTGTGGAGAGGTAACCAATATTCACTACCTTTCAAAAGTCTGAACTTTTGTAAACTTTTATTTGAACTTTTTTTTTTTTATTCATCAAAGAATCCCGAAAAACATGATCATGGTTTCCACAAAAATAGGAAGCAGTACAACTGTTTTCAGCAATGTTAATAATAATAAATGTTTATTGTGCTGCAAATCAGCATATAAGAATGATTTCTGAAGGACCAGACTGGAGTAATGATGCTGAAAAAAATTCAGCTTTGCATCACAGGAATAAATTACCTTGTAAATAAATAATAAAATATTATATAATATATTTCACAGTATTACTGTTTTTACTGTATCTTTGATCAAATAAATGCAGCCTTTTCAGAAGAGACTTTAGAACCATTAAAAATCGTAATTATTCTGAATGTTTGACTGTTGTGTGAAACCAGAGATTTTAACATCAGAAAATGGCTTATTATCATGATTTGCAACATTGTAGTTCTCTCTTTGTTTCCTGTAGTTTTGAGACTCAGAGAAATGGACTGGTCTTCATTTATGACATGGCTGGATCCAACTACACGAACTTTGAACTGGACCTCAGCAAAAAGATCCTCAATTTGCTGAAGGTGAGTTTTAGTGTTTTATCTGTATGTGGTTTTCCTGTTTCTGATGATGGCTGCCTGTTCATGTTCAAAAGTATGAGCAGAGCTGAGTTATTGGAGTGTACTTGAGAGTTGGGGGGGTTTAGATGTCAGAATAAATCAGAAATATCTGTTTTCCAACCTTCTGCAGGGTGCGTTCCCAGCACGGCTGAAGAAAGTGCTTATCGTTGGAGCTCCTGTGTGGTTCAGGGTCCCGTATAACCTTTTAAGTCTGTTACTGAAGGAGAAGCTCAGAGAACGGGTTGGTACACACACGGCAATAGCTGGTTTAAATCAAAACCAGCGGAGGCTGGCCTGTTAGATCATCTTGGTCAACCTGGTTAGAGCTAGTAACGCCCTGGTTAGGCTGTTAGGGACTGGTTGACTAACTTGACCACTTTAAAGGGATAGTTCACCTAAAAATTTAAATTAGCGCATAATTTACTCACCCTCAAGCCATCCTAGGTGTATATGTCTTTCTTCTTTCAGACGAATGCAATCAGAGTTATATTAAAACTGTCCTGGCTTTTCCAAGCTTAAGAATGGCAGTGAATGGCTGTTGAGCCCAAATTTTGAAGCCCAATGAATTAGAGCTAGTAACGCCCTGGTTAGGCTGTTAGGGACTGGTTGACTAACTTGACCACTTTAAAGGGATAGTTCACCTAAAAATTTAAATTAGCGCATAATTTACTCACCCTCAAGCCATCCTAGGTGTATATGTCTTTCTTCTTTCAGACGAATGCAATCAGAGTTATATTAAAACTGTCCTGGCTTTTCCAAGCTTTAGAATGGCAGTGAATGGCTGTTGAGCCCAAATTTTGAAGCCCAATGAATTGCATCCATCCATCATAAAAAGGGCTCCAGGGGGTTAATAAAGGCCTTCTGAAGTGAAGCGATGCATTTGTGTAAGAAAAATATCCATATTTAAAACTTTATAAACTGTAATCTCTAGCTTCCGCTAACTGTCGTTAATAAAGGCCTTTATTAACCCGCCGGAGCCGTGTGGAGCACTTTTCATGATGGATGGATGCACTTCTTTGGGCTTCAAAATCTCAACAGCCATTCACTTCCATTATAAAGCTTGGAAGAGCCAGGACATTTTTAATATAACTCCGATTGCATTCGTCTGAAAGAAGAAAGTCATACACACCTAGGATGGCTTGAGGATGAGTAAATCATGTGCTAATTTTCATTTTTGACTGATCTGGTTGTTTCTGGTCTATGTGCTTGACCCACTTTTTTCATCTTTTGTGGCATTTTGTGACTGCATTATCAGTTTCGTTATCTGTTCTCAGGTTCAAATGGTGAAGATGGGCGACCTGCGACAGCATCTGCCCAGAGACTGTTTACCTGAGCACCTGGGCGGCTGTTTGCCTCTGGACATGCACAGCTGGAACCTGCAGCTGCTGTCCGAGCAGAATGGGCGCGTGGACCCCGTGGATGAGCTAGTGGGGATTCCGCTGGAGAACACGTCCATACACATCCCTGAACCTGAGGTCATGAGTCTGGCCGAGCTCATGGCCCACCTGAACCGAGCCCAGCGCAGCGGGATCTACCTGGAGTATGAGGAGCTTCGCAGAGAGCAGCCACCTGGAACCTTCACCTGTGCGCTGTAAGTGTGGACACCTACGGGACTTTACCCTCCGTAATGTGGGGTATTTCAGAGTAAAACAGACTTTGATTTCATGTTGTCATTGAACTTCTGCAGGGCTGCTCACAACCAGGAGCGGAATCGCTATGGCGACGTGCTGTGTCTGGATCAGACTCGTGTGCGACTCAAAGCAAGGAGAAATGAAGTTTGTGCTATCTGATGTCATTCAGTTTAGGCCCTCTTTAGAGTGATCTTTGCTCCCATTCAAAAATTAGGGGTGGTTTTTAATGTTTTTGAAAGATGCTCAACAAGGCTGCATTTATTTAATCAAAAATACAGCAAAAAAAAAGAATATTGTGAAATATCTTTACAATTTAAAAGAACTGTTTTCTATTGCAATATATTGTAAAATGTCATTTATTTCTGTGATCAAAGCTGATTTTTCAGCATCATTTCTCCAGTCTTCAGTGCCTCATGATCCATCAGAAATCATTCTGATATTCTGATTTGCAGCTCAAGAATTCAGTGTTAAAAACAGTTGTGCTGCTTCATATTTCTGTAGAAACCATGATGCATTTTTTTCAAGCTTCTTTGATGAACAGAAAGTATGAACAGCATTTGTAACATAAAAGTATTTCTGTCACTTTAGATGAATTTAATGCATCCTTGCTGAATAAAAATATTAATTCCTTAAAACTTACTGACCCCAAATTTTTGAAAGTTCCGATTGGACACTGATCTTGTTTTCTTTCCACAGAGATCAGACTACATAAATGCCAGCTTCATGGATGGATACAAACAGAAAAATGCATATATTGGGACTCAGGGTAAAAATCACTGTATTTCACCCATCATATTTAGGGTTATGATTCTTAACCTGCACTGGAACTGATGCATTTGTTGTTTCTTAACAGGTCCATTGGAAAAAACCTACGGTGATTTCTGGAGAATGGTTTGGGAGCAAAGTGTGCTTGTCATCGTCATGACAACAAGGTGAGACGTCACAAAGAGTAGTTAACAAATATAGATGAAATGATGTGTAAATGATGGTAGCCAGACTTTTTACTATTACCAGGAAGTCTGGTCCAAATTGCCACTTGTTCAGGCCAAAATCCACCCACTTAGGGTGGACGTATATAAAGTGGTTGACCGCTATTCGGTCGTCTTATGTGAAGGTTCACATAAATCACATTTAACCAGAGAGCAAAATATAAAGTACAATTGTACTCATGAGTTCACATCTGCTTGCTATAAAATGTTTCAAAACTCTTGAATATCTGTTAGAGATTCAGTGGCACAAACTTTGGCAAATCTACTAACTAATTTGTCCTCAGGAGTTCTCATTGTAGCAGCCTGGGAACATGAATACAACTTTGTTTCCTATTGGGCTGATAAAATGAACCCTGACTCCTAGAAAGATATAGAAGTCAGCCAATCAGATTTGAGCCACTTGTTAAAAGTTTTTCTGTAGAGCCGATCTGTTCCGAGATCAGATTAGAGCTGTGCCATATGGATGCTGTCACGGTAGATTACGAAGACCGCTGCTTAGAGACCTGTGTGTGAATGTATGTGCGCAGGACGGATGAGGGGGGCCGGAGGAAGTGTGGACAGTACTGGCCCAAGGAAGAGGGCGGTCAGGAGGTGTACGGGCACATCGCTGTGGTCAATCACAGAGTGGACAAACATGCACATTACAACCAAACCACACTTGAGCTGCACAACACTGAGGTACCACACATACACCAGTTTTATATATTTTAATGTTTTCAATAAACAAGTCGGTAATTATGATTTCATGTATGATTTATATAATGAGTTCAGTCTCACCAACCACCTAATGTGGCTGTAGTATTGCTGGGGGATATTACTAAAAAATTTAATTTCAGTATTTTTCAGCTTTTTTTATGGTATTTGAGCTCAGTCTTGATGTATTTGCTCTGAATTGGCTTACAAGCACTTTTAAGCATCATTTCAGCCCAATACCCATTATTGCATAATGGTTTCAAAATATAAAATACAATAAATATCTAGTTACATAATTTCATGTTACTTTTTTCCACAGTTTTTTATTAAATGAAACAATGAAAAAAACATTTAAATACTTTAATTTATATGCACGAATAACATGCAATGTATAGTAATAAATGGCAATATAATTTTTAAAATAAATAAAATAAAGAATAGAAAAGATACAAATTTAATAATTTGTCCAATTTATATATATTTTAAAATGCAATTTTATTCTTGTGATGCGCAGCTGAATTTTCAGCATCATTACTCCAGTCTTCAGTGTCGCACGATCCTTCAGAAATCATTCTAATATGCTGATTTGCTGCACAAGAAACGTTTCTTCTTATCAATGTTGAAGACAGTTGTGCTGCTTAATATTTTTGTAGAAACAGTGATACATTCATGATTCTTTGACAAATAGAATGTTCCAAAGAACTTTACTATTGCTTTTGATCAATTTAATGCATTCTTGCTGAATAAATTTTTTTTTTTTAATCTTTTAAATGGTAGTGTACATATTAACTAATAAATGAATAATCTAAGCATCATTTCAGCCCAATACCCATTATTGCATAATGGTTTCAAAATATAAAATACAATAAATATCTAGTTACATAATTTCATGTTACTTTTTTCCACAGTTTTTTATTAAATGAAACAATGAAAAAAACATTTAAATACTTTAATTTATATGCACGAATAACATGCAATGTATAGTAATAAATGGCAATATAATTTTTAAAATAAATAAAATAAAGAATAGAAAAGATACAAATTTAATAATTTGTCCAATTTATATATATTTTAAAATGCAATTTTATTCTTGTGATGCGCAGCTGAATTTTCAGCATCATTACTCCAGTCTTCAGTGTCGCACGATCCTTCAGAAATCATTCTAATATGCTGATTTGCTGCACAAGAAACGTTTCTTCTTATCAATGTTGAAGACAGTTGTGCTGCTTAATATTTTTGTAGAAACAGTGATACATTCATGATTCTTTGACAAATAGAATGTTCCAAAGAACTTTACTATTGCTTTTGATCAATTTAATGCATTCTTGCTGAATAAAAGTATTAATTTTTTTTTTTTTATCTTTTAAATGGTAGTGTACATATTAACTAATAAATGAATAATCTTTGGGTATCTTAATAATGCATTTAAAAGACAATATTCACAATTTTCAGCTGTGTGTCTGCAGCAAAATCATTGCAAATATATTTAATATACATCGGTCACTCCAGCCATAGAGGTGTGCACATAACACGATAACTGTTCTCGGATTTGTAAGAATGATTCAAACTGAAAAGTCATGAATTTGTGAGTCTTTTGGACTGATTCTTTAAAGGAATGGCTCATTAGATTCATTTTTGAATCTACAGTGGTTACACAGGCTGTTTTATTTTTGAATCAGCCAACAAAGACAAGCGACAGAAAGAAGTGTTATTTATGTTTCACAATACACAGCCGTTTTATGTCATCACATTCAATTCAGACTGTCAAATCCGAACTAAAATATAGCGTCCTTTGCTGTGGCACTGAAGATTGAGGTTCTATATATCTGGCTTTGAAGAAAAGTAAAGTGGAACTTTGTCTGAACTTATTTTATTGTTGTTTTTTCTCAGACATTCGAACAGAGACAGGTGACTCATTTTCAGTTCCTCAGCTGGCCTGATTACGGGGTCCCATCCTCCGCACTGTCTCTGATTGACTTCCTGGGTGCCGTGAAGCACCAGCAGCAGTGGGCGGTCCAGGCTTTCGGCTCACAGTGGAGTGGTCATCCGCTCGACCCGCCCATGGTGGTCCACTGCAGCGCCGGCATCGGCCGGACTGGTCAGTAATTAAACACACCACAAAAACAAATCTACATATTAATGAGCCGCTTAAAAGGTCCAGCCAAAAATGAAAATTCTGCCATCATTTGCTAAACCTGTATGACTTACTTTCTTCAGTGGAACATGAAAGATAATTTGAAGAATGATGGTAACCAAACAGTTACCCAAAATATAATGGAAGTCAATAGGAGCCAAAATTATTTGGTTACCAACATTCTTCAAAATGTCTTCTGTCATGTTCCACAGAAGAAAGTCAGTCATACAGGTATAGTAAATTAACATAAAAGAAGATATTTTGAAGAATGTTGGGATATTGGCAACCAAACACTTTTGATTCCCAATGACTTCCATTATATGGACAAAAACACAATGGAAGTCAGTGGGAACCGAAACTATTTAGTTAGCAACATTCTCCAAAAAAAATGTTTATGTTCCACAGAAGAAAGTCAGTCAAACAGGTTTAGTAAATGAACATAAAAGAAGATATTTTGAAGAATGTTGGGATGTTGGTAACTAAATAGTTTTGGTTCCCATTGACTTCCATTGTATGGACAAAAAAGACAAAGTCAGTGGGAGCCGAAACGATTTGGTTACCAACAGTCTTCAAAATATCTTCCTTCAAGTTTCACTGAAGTAAGAAAGTCATACAAGTTTGTAACAACTCTAGGGTTAGAATTTTGGGCGGACTGTCCCTTTAATGGCTTATCAGACTGAATTCCTCTGCCCGCAGGTACTTTTTGTGCGCTTGATATCTGCCTGTCCCAGCTGCAGGATGTCAGGACTCTTAACGTTTGCCAGACGGTTCGACGGATGAGAGCGCAACGTGCCTTCAGCATCCAAACACCCGAGCAGTACTATTTCTGCCACACCGCCATCCTCGAGCACGCCCAGAGGCAGGGCCTACTTTCAGCCAATCAGTGAGCAGCAGGGCCCACTTGTAGCCAATCAGAGACTCGCTTTTTATTTTGTTGTGGGTTGAAAGAGTCTTTGCTACTGAATTCATATTGAATTTCCTTGTAGTGAAGCATCTGGACACACTCCCAATGATTCCAGGATCTGCAGTCCTGCCTTGATGGGCACACAATGTGACCAATTGTATTTTTCTATTACACCCAAACTTTATGTCTTGTCTTATTACTCCCAAATATATATATATACGTAAATTATATTTGATCTTTTATTTCTACTTGTTTCTTATGGAAAAACTAACCTGTAATGTCAAACTTGTGATTATCAATAAGTTTGCAGCGGTTCTGTTAGTGATGATAAAGTGCTTTGCTCTGCCGTTAAAGAGCCTTATTCCTCATATACGTTTGGATTGAGTGAAATGTTTATGTGAGAAGACTGTACAGGTTTCGGCTGTCTTGGTGTCCATCTCGATCTCAAAACCGAGCTGTTCAAACTGCAATATCATTTGAGAAACACCAAATCAAAACCATGTGTTTTAATGTTTATTAAAGCGACAAACAGTATTGACTGTGTTTTAATTGAAACTTTCACAACTAGATTAAAGGTCCTGTAGTGGTTTCCAGTTCAAAAGTGAATAGTTATTAACCTAAAGATTATATATATTTTTTTGTTGTTAAGAATACAAAGTTTTGCAAAAGTGTGCTTACAGAAGAATATATGTTCTGTTATATGTTTTTTCACCCACAGTATGAGTTTGTATGTCTTGTCTTATTACTCCCAAATATATATATATACGTAAATTATATTTGATCTTTTATTTCTACTTGTTTCTTATTGAAAAACTAACCTGTAATGTCAAACTTGTGATTATCAATAAGTTTGCAGCGGTTCTGTTAGTGATGATAAAGTGCTTTGCTCTGCCGTTAAAGAGCCTTATTCCTCATATACGTTTGGATTGAGTGAAATGTTTATGTGAGAAGACTGTACAGGTTTCGGCTGTCTTGGTGTCCATCTCGATCTCAAAACCGAGCTGTTCAAACTGCAATATCATTTGAGAAACACCAAATCAAAACCATGTGTTTTAATGTTTATTAAAGCGACAAACAGTATTGACTGTGTTTTAATTGAAACTTTCACAACTAGATTAAAGGTCCTGTAGTAGTTTCCAGTTCAAAAGTGAATAGTTATTAACCTAAAGATTATATATATTTTTTTGTTGTTAAGAATACAAAGTTTTGCAAAAGTGTGCTTACAGAAGAATATATGTTCTGTTATATGTTTTTTCACCCACAGTATGAGTTTTTAAAGAGACTTTATTCATATTAATGCTAACCTTTATCTAGTATTACATGATTTTGGTGAAGTACATACAACAACAACAAAAATTGGTAAACAGTACTGCAAGTTAATTTTACGTCCAATACCACACATAAAATAATAGATATCGCTTAAAGGGGTCCTATTATGCTTTTTCACTTTTTCAACTTTAGTTAGTCTGTAATGTTGCTGTTTGATCATAAAAAAGATCTGCAAAGTTACAAAGCTCAAAGTCCAATTCAAAAGGAGATATTTTATTTAACAGAAATCACTTTTCAAAAACTACAACGAACGACTCGTTTGGACTACAACGCATAATTTCCGGGATTTGTGATATCACAAAGATCGACGAATGGGCCGAGACCTGGTTGAGCTGCACTAGAGAAGGCAACGAGTGTTATCACTATGTCGGAGACGCGCTAGCTTTCCCAAGGCAGACGAACTTAGAGTGGTTACAATCATCCGGGTTTAAATCGCGCTCAAATTGATTTGATTTTGCCCCAATATTTACACTGAAGCTCACAGTAGCTATGGTAAGGGGCGTGACATTTCCCGACCAGGCACCAAGTGCTGCCAATCACAACAGACACTGGTCCAGCTAACCAATCACAGCACATTTCGTATTTCAGAAAGCGGGTCACAGCACACACTGGCCCAGCTGACCAATCACAGCACACACTGGCCCAGCTGACCAATCACAGCACACACTGGCCCAGCTAACCAATCACAGCACATTTCGTATTTCAGAAGGCGGGCCTTCATTTGATACAGGATCTATTCAAGCTGTTCATGCCAGACTGGGGAGAGAGGTGTTGTAATAATGTAAAATATGTGAAAAATAATGTGTTTTTCGAACAACCTAGTATGAGAGCCTGAACACCCCCAAAACAAAATCAAGACTTTGTAAAAGAGCATAATAGGACCCCTTTAAATGCCTGTTGCAGAGTGTTAGAGGAGCGGCCCGCGCTTATTTAGCCAATCAGAAACGTTCTCTACCTGTCAATCATTTTGAGCATTCTTTGCTGAGCTGCCTTTCGAAGGCGGGGCTTTGGCGAGGGGCGTGTCCTAACTCAGTAATAACTGGCGGAATTTAGCAAAGGGTTAACATAAGTGTCACATCTCCGTCAGTGGCATATAGTCGAATTCAAACGGTGCTCTTTAAGAAATATCTTGATAACACACATTTTGCGCATCTGGTTTCGTTGCAAAGTAAATATTAATCCCAATTACAAAGTAAAACACTTAGTGCGATACTACAGGTGTGTCGAAGCAGCGAGTGCGCGAGTGCGCATTTGGCGGGTCGTATTCAAATCCAGATGACGCATGCCGTCACGTAGACCAATGGGAGGAGAGGGGGGCGTTCCTAACTATTTGTTCCAAACACGAACCCGGAGTGCGAGGCTCGTTTTCGCAGGTATGTAGCAGCTGGGCAAAAGAAAACAAATTTATGTTGTCCTCTTTAGATCGAATATGTGTTTCTAGCGGTGTTCGAGAGCTTTCTGCAGGGTCGTTCAGGAGATTGTAGTGTGTTAATCGGGCTGTTCGTTCGATCAAGGCACATTAAGGGGAGAAAAAGGGGCAAAGCTTTGGCCAACTGAAGCAGCAAAGAAACGTATCTTTATGTTATGACACACAACCCCATCTGTGTGTGTCCGATGCTTTCCCGAGGGCTTTTCTAACTTGTTTTTGATCTGAAGGCAGATCTGCAGCTCTGTCTGGTGTTCAGAGGGGGAGGGAAGAGGTGTTCAAACACGGTTAGACATTTTCCCCTTCAGTCTTCCCAGTAAACAAAGAATATTAGATCAGCTGGCGTGTCTGTGCTGTAATATATGATCGGATCTGTCGTTTCACATCTTCGCATGATCACATTAGCGAGTCCGTGTTCATGCGATCAGATTTTTAGTTCCCATTTTGACTTTGGGTCTGATTACTAAAGGACAACATGTCATGATAGAGGCGTGCGTGGTTGTGGTGTCATGTTCGTGTGTGCTTGTTCAGTCCAGAAATCACGAGAGATCGTGAAAGGTGTCCTTTAATGAACGTTTGAGGGTGTTTATACGCGAGTCTTTTGTTCGGTGTCGTGTTATTGCGCTCGCGGACATGCTGAATATTTGAACGCTTTGCATCGAAATCCGTCCGAACTTGTTTATTCTGTGAGTTTGAGCTGTTTTGGTTCGCGTTGTGTCGGGTTTTGTCCGAATTTTAAGCGAGACGCTGTGCAGGCATACACGCGTGAGCCTCCGCTCTGACTGACTGCGGACGGGGCGAGGAGGAATCCCGGGCACTAGCTTAAGCCCCGCCTCTCGTGGGCGGAGCGTGCCAATATGAGCCTCACGTCATGCATAACGCCCTCTCAGAGCGCCCGACCAGTTCGAATGGACGAATCCGCCTGGCCAATCGGAGTCGAGATTTCTATAAGAGGCGTTCCTTCAATGAAATTCTTCATTCTGATTGGCCAGCTGTTTTGAGGGGGCGTAAAGAATGACGTAACCACAGGCAGGAAGTTCAGGAAGCTGCTGAAAGCATTTTTCAGACGTAATGCCGCGATTTTATATCACAAAGAGTGATGGTGGCGCATTATAGTAAAGCATTATAGCCCGACCAGATCGCTACTCACTCTCCAGTCTAAAAAGAGGTTGAGAGTACGTTGCTGCTCAAAGCCAGTTGTTGTTCGATGTGTGTGTTTGTTTGTTTGTTTGTTTGTGTGTGTGTGTGTGTGTGTGAGAGAGAGAGAGATAAACAGTAGAGGGTTTGGGCTCAACCCCCCTAACAATGTTAATACTTGTCTGAGTGACAGTCGAGAACTTCAATAAAAACACAACCCTATGTCTTCTCCCGAGCAAAGAGCCAATCAGAGACCAAGTGGGCGGAGACTGTTCGCAAAGCCTATGTTAGCCCCGCCCCTCCTCGGCGCTTGTGTTCAGCAGGAATTTTCTGCGTTAGTTGTTTTTAAACTCCGTTTTAATGCGTTTTATCGGTGTGAGTTTTAGTAGTTCGGTGACATTTTAACAGCGACGGTGTACTATAAGCGCAGCTAGCAGAAGCGGGTGAGTCTCAGAGGTATATAATACCAGTTTTATTCAGTGTTTCTGAACTTTTTTCCCTCTCAATAAGATGTTTTTCTGTCAGACTGAAACTTCCGACCTTTAGTTTTCTTAGTTTATTTGATAAAGGCGAAATTCCCGACTAAACTTAGTCACTTTTAGTCGCGGGTTAGCAAGTTAGCATTAACTGTGCATGTGCAGCAGACGCACACACACCAAGCACATGTTTATACACACACACACATACATTTATATACGCACTTATTGATACACACCTATGCATTTGCCTCATTCAGTCATTTATATATGCAAATACGCATATACTCACCATGCACATGTATATTTATATATACATTTGCGCACTATTGCTCATGTATATATAGACACCATTCATGTTTGTATATAACGTACATATACATGTTTGTGACCTTTATTCATCAGCTAGTCAGAGTCTAGAATAGTAGATCTCCTGTTGGTAATGGCTTGGACTACAGCCAAATCATGATGTGTAATTAGTTGCTGTCTTTGTCTCGTCTGTTCCAGGTCTTAGTTTCTGTCTGAGTATGAGTACAGCATGAGGAGGCGTTTAGAGGATCAGGAGCCAGTGTTCACTCCACAACAGCACCGGCTTAAAGCATGTCAGCATATTCTGTTACACCAAATACACAAAATAATGATCTTTAAA